ACCCCTGTGGAAGTCGAGCATGAACAAGTGCAAAAAGTGGTGGACAGAAACATTACACTCCGCCAACTCGGCATACTTGGTCAGCAGTAGAAGTACCTTGAGCGTTTATGGCGAAAGTTGTGCTGAACAAACTTGGTAAAACCTACAGAATTCTTCCGCTAAAGGAAAGAGAGGAAGAGTATAGCCGATCATAAAAAGGGTACTCATAGAAAGCGCAGTACCCGGTCTGTGGACATCCACGTAATCTCTCCCCGCCGGAACCATTTCTGCATGAGCGGGAATGCCATACTTTACACAAATAGCATCGATATGAATTTTCTCTATCTCAGAAAATATGGGATCCGGAGTAGGAGGGGGATCTTTGAGGAAGTCACTTCGGGATAAGGGATGCCACGGTAGTAACTCCTCCACATAGGAAGGTTGTCACCCTCTTCTACCACCGTATGTTCACCGCTAGAAGGGGGCGCCATGGACAACGTGGTGGCTTCAGGAACCTCTTCACGAGAATGACGAGACCTCGACATAATATCATTCAAAGGAATATCAACACAAAAGGAAGAAGGAAGAACGTAAGAAGAAACAGAAGGATATGAGAGCAAATTAGGAAGAGTGAAATAAGTTATCAAGAGTGAAATGGCTAAATAAAATTCGAAAAACAAACCCTTCACCTATTTATAGGGTTGGGTGGCGCCAGAATCGAGGCGGCAGGTCACAAAGTAGCACAAGAATCGAAGCATCAAGCCATCAATTCCTGCCTCGAAAACCTGCGTGATGATGACGCACGTGAAGCTGACATCATTTTCCGGTAAAGTGTATCACTTGATGTCTTGCTGAACACGCTGACCATCCCTCGTTGGCCGCGTCGTAACATTTCAACAGATCAAATTTCTCCATAAGAACGCATGAAGTCCGCTCATCAAGGACGCAATCGGTTGCAACTCCGACAAGTGGAGGGACTAACTGTAAGGGTCCAAATTTGACCGACCACGACCAACGACGAGTACGACAAATGACAGGGTCCCTTTGAGTCGACGTCCCGAGGGAGACGACCTTAAGGCAAAGAAGATACTGTACGACCCTTGTAATAGTGTAAGCCCATTAGGGGACTTTAGGCATATTCCGTCGAATATTCCTTATATTTTGTCTTTTACAATTTAGAAGAGTTTCTCTCTTAGTATAAAAGGGGGACAATAACCTTGTAACAGGGTATCTGGACTCGGGGAAGATTATTATTCTTGAACGAAAAGAAACTTAACGACTATCTTCTCTTTATCTATTATTCTTTCTAGAGATTATTATATTCAGCTAAGATTTACCCCTTCATCTTCGATTGATTTGTTCAAAAAGATTTTGATATCTTTTGAGTCAAACACCCCCTCCTTCCGTCTTCATCTGCCAAAAGGAAAAAACACAAGTACCGTTTTTGGATTTTCAGATCTGGGGAAGGGAGAAATTTATGTCAATTTTTTTTCTTTCTTTTTTGGGTTGAAAATCCCTTCTTTTAGCTAACTGGAGAAGAAAAAATCTGAGTTGAGAAAAAAGGGAAGAAACAAAAAAGAAACCGGCGATTCTAGCAACCACTGGCCATTGCTCATTTCCTTTCCTCCTTCATCTCTATTATTCTGTTTCGTTGTTGTTTTAACTGATAAAAGAGCAGAACTGAAAGAAGTGACCGTACATTTAATATTTCGGCGGCTACCATTAAAATCAGCGACATTTATCACCATTTCTGGTGTTCCATCATTGTGGTATCGGAGATTCGTTCGTGTTCTGTCTATTACTAATTCTGTGGTTGGTGTGTAAATGTTAAAACCTTGATAACATATTACTGTTGCTTGTCGCCTCTTTGGACCTGGCCGGAGTTCTGACTTTTCCGGCGCCATTAATTACGGCAATAAAATTTAAGACAACAAGGTGATGGTGGTGAATTGGCGGAGGGAGAAAGAGACAGGAAGGGGGTGACGCGGACAAAGAGAATAGGAGGAAAAGGAAAGTAAGAAAAAATGAAAAATAGAAATATTGATCTCTTACGCTCGGGAAATAGTGTAATACACGCAGTATGCCACATCATCAAATTGTGCTTAAATAACACATTTGAGATATGGTTGGAGTGTTTAAATGAAACGGACTTAAAATAAAGTGTTTAAGTGAAAAATGAGGACAACTTTAAGAGGCTGCGGATGTATTTGGCCTTTTTTTTTTTTTTTTTTTTTTTTTTTTTTTTTTTTTTTTTTTTTTTTTTTTGCATAAGACTTTGTAAGTATGTTATTCGGATGCATAGGCAGCTAAAATCAAGGAGAGAGTTCTGATGTATGACTTGTTAACTGTTACTGTTTTGAATTATATCTGGAGAAAGATGCACAAAGATGATGTAAGACCCGCTCAAACTAATCCATTTGTAAGAATAAGCTAAAAGACCATAACAATATAATCTTCATAGATGAAAATTATTTTGATACAACACATACCTTTTGAAGATCCGTAGGTAACACAGCTTCATCAACGGCCGTTGGGGTCCATATTTCTATGCCACTGTCAAATCCACAGGTAGCAATCATTGGTGCATAAGGATGCGACTCAATACAGCTTGTGACATGGTAACCTGAGCCTAAAACGCGAACAAGCTTCCCACTCTTTTTCTTCCAAATGAAAATTCGGCCACAATCAGACCCGCTCACAACCCCCATATTCACTTGTTGAACTAATCCATCTTCTCCACAGGAGTAAAAAATATGAGGGCTTCCAGGTTCAATTGCCAATTTGTGAGCTCGTTTGATGCTTCGCCACCAACTTCGTTACCACGTTTCCTCCTTATAGAATTTGATGATTATTAATCTGTAATTTGCATGGATAGGAAGTATATTATTCCTTAGTGGAGGTTGTAACAGACATTAAACATTAGCTATGTAATTCCTAACTTTTAAACGAAACTAATATTCGAGAGAAAAATGTCCTCTCCTTTTAGGAAGATCAAAGAGAAGCAGTAATATGTAGGATGATGAATCAGATAGTAATTTGTTCAGTATCTTGAAAGATACACAGAACTAGTGCAAACCATTAGCTTCATATTTTTACTGCACTGCCATTAATGCTCGTCAATCCTACTCCTCGCCATTGATGTTCCATGTATAACGCAAACATTTATTAACCAGAAAGCGACGTAATGGTAAGTCAAAATGCAAAAGAAACACACGTAGCATAAGAGCAATCTTGAGATTGGGAAAATAAACGAACAGAAAGCATAACACATTTCTACTGTACAAAAAAATCCCAAGAGGAAACAGAGTTTTTGAAATATGTGACTATCTCGTATAAAAATTTAAGCCTTTTTTATGTGACTTTTTTTTTTAATGTAATGGGTGATATAAGACTCGAACCCACGACCTCTAATTGCTAGGGAAACACTCATTTATTTATTTATTTATGTCTCTACAAGAGCAAAATTTTCTCTCATGTCAACCATTAAGAGTACATTTTTCGATAGAAATGTAGAATAATTGCACATTAAATGCAACAAACTACTCAGAAATGGACAATCCCTAGTGATAAATAAAAGGAAATACAATCCACCCTCCAAATCTAACCAACATTTAGGAGAGAAGACATAAGCCACATACTAAATGGACTACAGCCAAAGGCGTGCCATGCATGATGGTACTAGCGTAAAAATGTCCTGTACAACAACAACAAACCCGATCTAATACCACAAGTGGGGTCTGGGAGGGTAACGTATACACTGACTACCTCTACCTTGAGAAGAAAGTAAAAGAGGTCACCAACCCGATAATCTGAGTCAAATCGAGAAAAAAAACCTGACTATGGTTTGGTTTGATTTGATTTGGTATTAAAAAAAAAAACCCGACCAGAATTGGTTTGGTTTAGTTTGGTTTTAACTAAAGAAAGTCAAACCGAAACCAAACTAACCCGACATTACATATATAGAAATTTTAGATATATTTAATATATAAATATACTTATTTTGATGTAATTTATAAATATTTCTTAAAAATGTTCATAATTTTATCTTTTAAGGTATTATTTCAAGGTTGTACTTAGAACTTTTGAATGTTCCAATAAGTTTTATAGCCATTAACACTAATAAATTAAGTAATGCTAATAAAAGCCCAAACTAAAATCAAATCAATGTTAATGTTAACAAAAGACATTCAATTCAATACTACGAACGGGAATGTATATCTATTTTTTGTTTTGCAATAATTTAGATAAAAATGCACAACTTATTTTTATTTTTTCTTTAGCGTTTATTCATGTAATTAATACTCTCTTATTAATCTACTTATTTTAGCATGACTTAGTACTTTTAGATTAGGTTTATTTTTATTATGGCTTTTTAATTAGCAATATTTATATTACATAATTTTATTGTCTTTATTGTTGAATATTTTAGGATAATGTCATGACACATCTCATATTTTGTATATTTTCTTGGAAAAAACTTTATATAGTTGTATCTTACTAGGATTAAAGAAATATTTTGAGCATAATTTTATATATTTTGTTCTACGAAGATTTTACTGGGAAAAAAATCCGAATAACCCGAAAACCCGAGAAAATCTTAGAGGAAAAATCCCGAGTTTTATTGGTTTGGTTTGGTCTTTAGATTTAATAACTCGACACAATTGATTTGATTTGGTAATTATAAAATCTGAACCAACCCGATTTATGTACACCCCTAGTCATAATATACCATATCAATATAACTATATAAGAGAATTTTCTTAAGGGAAAAATGGGAAATTGAAATATGAGGTGTAAAATATTTTTCTTAAAGATTAGCTTATTATTTAAAATATCACATTATAATTCTAAAATCTGAATGTGAGTATTAAACTAATATAATTCTTATACTAATTACGAGTACTAGTAATAGATGGAGTATGGAAGAATTTAGAAGGTTTATACAATGTTGTTGACGGGTGTAACTTGTGGAGCCCACAAGTTGTTTACATCAGTCTTTGTCCCATACTGCCACCTGTCAAACCACGCCTCTTCTCTCCCTTTCCTTCTTTTCTTCAATTCCGAACAGTACACTCACTCTGATTAAAAGTTAAGACCATCTCAAAACTCGCAGTACAAATTGTAGAAAACAGCAGCAAAATCAAGCTAAATCGGGTTTTCAGTATGAGTATGAGAAAAAGGGCAAGAACGAGCCTCGATTCGGCTATTGTTAATGTATGGAAAAGAGAGGTCGGCGAAATCTCTACCAAAAACTTTGCTGACTCTCTCACTGCCTCTGAGGTTCGTAATTCTCTAGCTTTACTTTTTTAAGATGTTAGCTTAAGTTATGTTAGTGATCGTGATAGAAAATGATAATGTATTATCAGTTGAAAAGTTAGTTTGATAGATATAAATTGTTTAGAATTCGAGTATTTAAAGTAATTTGATTGGAAGTTTTCAAAATTGTGCTGCTTCTTTTTTTTCCATATGAAAGTGGTGTAGTACTACTATTATTGGTGGAATGCAGTGGTCGAAGTGGACGGAGAATCGTGAGGTCTGAACTTCAAATCTCAGCTAGACAAAAAACAGTAGGTTTGATATATCCACTTAAGTCTTAGTGGGTAGAGTTATTGGTACTTGTGCTGGTGGAGGTAGCAATTAAATTAACCATAATATTGATTTGAATAATATATGCTTAAATAAACCATAATGTTGATTTGAATAATATGCTTAGATTAACCATGATATTGATTTCTTCCCATCTCCCACTGGCATAGGTACCTACTCTACCCACCTGACCCACCAAGGTTTAGGTACATGCGAAGAAATTACCCGGTGTTTAATTTTTGTTTAATTTTTTTTTCCTCTACTGGAATTTGAATGTGAGACCTCATCGTTTTCTGCCCACTTCATTGACCACTAGGCCACACCTTGGGTGATTGATGCAGTATTCTCATTCCAGTGAGTGGAGCTTAGGACTAACTAAGAGCTGGTTTGTGTTCTGTCCATGTTTATTTTCCTCTTTACATAAGACTGCTGAGAGAAATTGGAGGTTTTTTTGGGTGTGGAATTCAGAGAGAGAAACTTCTACTTTCACTTTTGCTTGTTTACTCTACTGAAACAATTGGATTTATTTGACTTTCCTTTAAAAAGTTGGTTCATTCAGTTTGCTTGACTGTTCATGTTACTTGTGTTAATGGTTGTCGGTTAGACCCAGAGGTACTTTGGCAAGTCTGCTTGATAAGTACACTTATTTTGTGACCTTTATGACTTTGCGTATTGTTTTTGGTTGCATACAGTTTGTGGCTGCTGTGTCTACTAGATCTAGTAAGGTGCCAATTTTATTATCAATTTTGTTTGTGGATTAGCTCGTTCTTGGATGATGTGATATAGCTTCTTGATGCTGGTACTTTCATGCATGGCATGCCTTTGGCTAAAGTCTAGTTTATATGTCTGTTAGATAGTTATGTGTAAATAGTCCTAGTTCTATATATAGTAGGAGTAGAATACATCCTAGTCCCAAATGTAGTAGGAGTAGAATACATCCTAGTCCCAAATGTAGTAGGAGTAGAATATGTCATAGTCCCAACTCCCATATGTAGTAGGAGTAGAATATGTATTATATATAGGGCTCATTGTATCATTAAAAAATAGATTTTTCTCCCTTACTTTCTCACATGGTATCAGAGCTTCAATGAGAAAATTATCGTTATGCGTCATTCCAGCGACATCCGGGAAGAAAGATCTCATCGCCGTGCTATTTTCCAGCAACTTCGTCTTGTTCCCCGGGTTCATCATTGCTACAATGGTACTATGCATATTACCAGTACCACCACCAGATCTGAAACCCTTGTGCAACCAAACCCCAGAAATCTCAGTCCCATCGGAACAGAAAAATAAGTCACCGTGTGTCTTTCCGGTTGACAACTCAAGGTTGATTTGCGTTATCTCCTCATTAGTAAGTGTTATGCGAAAACCAACACTACCATCTTGTTCGGAAAATTCAGGCGACAAAACCCCAGTCAATCGCTCCGGCAGAAAGTCATGTGCCTCCATGCGCCGCCAGAACTAAGGTTCCGGCGAGCTACAGTAACTTTTCCGGCGTGTGTGAGCCATTCCGGCCACTTTTTGACAAAACTTCTTCAGGACAACTTACTCGTCCAGTGATTCCGAGCCTACCCATATAAATTACATCAAATGCTGACAATTTTTATTTTCTCCGGCGTGAGGCGTGGACAATGCACTTTTTCCAGCGTAAACAATCATTTCCCGAAAAAGTTCTGTTTTCTGGTGGTGTTTTAGAACCTATTTTGTAGTGTGGAATCCGGCGTAGTCTCACTATTTTCAAATTTTTCTGGAGACTTTTCGGCATCAGCAACCACCTGGTTTTGTTACTCGGGGGAGTCTAGTGGCCTTGTATGTCGAATGACCAACTTGCAGATATTTTCACCAAGTCTTTCACTGGTCCTTGTATTAGTTACATATGTAACAAGCTCAGTACATATGATTTGTATGCACCGGCTTGAGGGGAGTGTTAGATAGTTATGTGTAAATAGCCCTAGTCCTATATGTAGTAGGAGTAGAATATATCCTGTCCCAAATGTAGTAGGAGTAGAATATGTCAAAGTCCCATATGTATTAGGAGTAGAATATATATTATATATAAAGCTCATTCTATCATTAAAAAATAGATTTTTCTCCCGTGCTTTCTCACGCTCTCCTTGTTATTGGTTTGATTTGTGGATGGATTGCATGTCTCGCTATCTCACTTGGAGTATACACGGAAACAGTAGTACATGTTTAGATGGAAATAGCACTCTTTGCTAGTTGGAATTGGTGAATAGTAATAAATAATTTGGTTCCTAGTAGTAGTTAATTTTGCCAAATTCATATGCTATGTATTTCTTATCCTATAAAAGGATGTTTATGTGTTTTCTCTTGTATTTTCTGCTATTATTTGTTCTTTTGGTTAACAGATGTCTACTTTAGATATGGACTTTTAAAGGAGGGTAGGAATAACAAGCATAACGTTAGTGCAGAAAAATATCTAGTGATGTCAGTTGACTACTTCTGTGTATTCTTTCAAGATACTGAACTGATAGAAACAGCAGATTGTGCTGTCCAAGTTATGCATGTTAATTTGTTGATCAAGCTTATACTTTGAAGTCAAGATTTTAAAATCCTGAGACTCCATATAATTACAGTGTTCTTCTACCAGGACTTGGTGCTGCGTCTTGATGTCTTCAGGAGACTGAAGGAACACAGAGGTTGGGTGAATACAGTTAGTTTTAGCGCTGATGGTGACATTCTCGTATCGAGCTCTAATGACAGGAAGGTCACACTCTGGGACTGGGAGACTGGGAAAACTGTACTCTCATTTCATTCAGGGCACGATGACTACGTTTTTCAAGCAAAGACCATGCCCCACACTGACAACCGAAGCATTGTCACTTGTGCCGCCGATGGACAGGTAACTACTTGAGAGTTGTGCTGTTCCTTCTTGGCTATGTTCCATGTAGGTGATCTCCTCTTAAACTGTCTGATTCTTCACCTTACATATTGCGGTCTCTCCTTCTCCCTAAAGGGGATATATTTTTCCATTTGGATTTTTAGATTCCTTTCAAAATTATCAATATATTAAATAGCTAACAATGCAAGTTTGTTGCAACGCCCACTAAGAAAGAATGTAATTCTATTCTTAGAAGTTGTAAGTGATTATACTCATTGTAGGTGAGACGTGCGCAGATTCTAGAACGTGGCTATGTGACAACCAACTTGCTGGCAAAGCATCAAGGACTAGCTCCAAAATTGGCAATTGAACCCGGAAGCCCCAATATCTTTTACACGTGTGGGTATGATGGATTAGTTCAACATGTGAGTTATGCTTAATTTCTAAATTTTGGTTCCAGTTTTATGTTACGCTATGAATGGTAAACAACAGTTTTTATATCCTCATAGATCAGACCTCTTGGAAAAGGTACATTTTTAGTATAACACAGACGGCATGCATGTGTGGTGTACATGGTCATTAAAGAGCATGAAAAATAAAAATCTTATTGGTTTTTATTAAAGAGGCTGAATTAATATGGAAACCATTTGATAGTATTTATGATATTGAAAAATCACAGGCAAATGGACGGATGTTTTCTTCTTCCAACTTTATATTCTTTAAACCTCTTAAGTTGTTTATTGCTTATGATTTTTCAATTAATATTGGTCGAATTTGTACAGTGAAGNCCCTAATTTTTTCGCTCATGTTTCCTAAAGTTTCATCCTTTTCCATATTAGCAAATTATATAAACTCACCAAATCTGACTTCAAAGCAATTACTGAATCAAAACCTTTAAGGAATATTATCTATTTTCCAAGTAAAAGGAACAAAGAGAGACATAATTGACCTCTATATGTTCTAGTGATTGATTCAAGTATAATGGTTATATGGGAATTGGGAACCTGAAACACCAAATAATCTAAACATGTTTTGAGATTCCCATAGCTTCTCCTTTTTGTCTCGTCTTTTATATGGCTGATGCTCTGATTGAATGTGTTCTTACAGATAGATCTGAGAACAGAAAAAGCTACAGAGCTTTTTACTTGCCGACCTTTTTGGCCAAGAAATTATACGTCTTTAACTCTAAGTGAAATTGTAGTAGATCCAAGAAATCCTTATTTCTTTGCTGTTGCTGGAGCAGATGAATTTGCAAGAATTTTTGATATGCGCAAATATAGTTGGGATGGTTCTGCTGATTTTGGTCGGCCTGTTGACTATTTCTGTCCCTCACATTTAGTTGGCATCCAGGATGAGGGAATAACAGGTTTGTCTATCTCCAACCGCAGCGAGCTTCTTGTTTCATACTTTGAGGAGGTTATATATCTTCTCACAAAAGATATGGGGCTGGGACCTGATCCATCTCCCATTTCCCCTTCCCCAGTGTCACATGACAGTTATGAGGGGGAAATGGACCTGGATGATTGGTCTGATGCGTCTCCACCATTTGATGCTGGCATGAACTTTGGTCCACAATTCTACATGGGGCACAAATATGGTGAAGAATTAAATGGTGTTACCTTTCTTGGGCCCAGATGTGAATATATCGCGGGTGGATCTGATTGTGGTCGAATTTACATTTGGAATAAAAAGAGTAGCGAGGTTGTTCGTGTAATGGAAGCAGATAGACAAGGTGTAAGCTATGTTGTATCTCATCCTCATACCACTGTGCTTGCTAGTTGTGGAATGGAGCCTGACACAAAGATATGGACCCCAAAAGCCTTAGATAGAGCTGTTTTACCTACGGATGTTGAAAAGGTGTGTTATTTTAAAAATGTTCTTCATATTGTACAAGCTTATTTGTTGTTGGTCTTCTAGCTCGTTCTTCCAAATAGATTATTTTTAGCTAGATACTTAGTTATTCACAATAGCTCAAAATTTTATCCTTGGGTCTTATATCATTGTTTTTCTTATCTTTCTCAAGAACAACAATGAGGCATGTTCTGTTTTATTTCAGTTGCCAGTGAAATCCTTATTACATACTTATAAAGTACATCTGATGAATGGACAAGCTTTTAGTTTGACTTCAGCTAACCTGATGGTTTAATTATTCAAAAATCCGAGACAAACTGAGTTCAAATTTGCATCTTTATTGCTTTTGATTTCTTGTAGAGATCTTTTTGCTCTATAGATATACAAAAATAGTAGCACTATCATCTTCTTGATTGTGTAGTAGATGTGAAAGATGCATAAATACTCTGCGGAACTTAGGAAATAAGATTTACATTTCTTCTAAAGGTGCGTTAAAAGATAAAGCATTAAACATATAGTATTATCTTTGTAAAATTTACTGGGATGCTCTGTTGGAAATGAGTAGTTCGTTATTGTTTACAAGAAGCCATAGAAATGTCTATTAAGATGTGAGTGAGTGGACACTCCTAAGCAGGTCCTTGTTTATTACTGTATTATTAGCAAGATGGTTGTACTGTTTAAAGAAGCATTCAGATTTTCCTGACTGCACTTTCAGATAACCTCAAAATGAGATACCGAGTCCCAGTGAAAAAGTTGTGAAGAAGGTGAATTGGGAGAAGAGGTGAACTAGTAAGAGGACATTTAGAATTTAAGTATCTGGGGAGTATCATTTTCTGGTGGCTTGTAAAGTTCAACTGAGAACAAGACTTTCTATTATTAATCATGTTTCGTCTGCTACTACAATTCTATTTCTGGTGTCTTGATTCTCGTGCTAATCCCATTGCTGAATTCTGTCATTCTCATTGTGTCGGAACTCTCAACTTTTACTATTCTCTCTCTGTCCCTTCTCATCATCAACCATCTTCACTTATGTTTTGTTCTAAAAGAGTACTGTTAGTGTAAAATATGTATAAGCTTTCTGGCAAAGTATGTATATCTTTCACATTAAAATTGCATCTCAAATAAGAGCTGTCTCTATAATGCTTTAATGAAGTTGTTTTGGACCTTAGTTCACTTTCCTTTAGTGTCTTACTGCCTTCTCTTTGTCCATTAAGGTCATGCACTTGATAGTCATGTGACATAGGACTACCAAAAAGCAGAGACAGGGCCAAGATTTTTAGTTTCTGGGTTCGGGATTCTAATCCTTTTAAGTTATTAGATTCTAAATAAATAATTTGGACATACTCAATAAAAAAATTAAAGCAAATACAAGGTTTGAACCAAAACTACTGAGCTCGGCCGAACCGTAGTTAACACTCTAGCTACGCCCCTGCCAAAAAGAAGATGATGTTACATCCAAAATCCTTGGATACCACTATTTCTGCAAGTAGAGGGTGCTCTAAAATTTTGCGCTAATGTTTCTTTAAATAAATGGTTCAGTAACCTTGTCAGTTTCATTATTTCGATTTAGGAAATCGTGGTTCTCTTTGATGGTGATAATAATCATGAAGAATTATATGACAACAAAAATCAAAATGGGGATGAAGCGTTCTTTTGACAGTGTCGGTGTTCTGGTTTTGATGATTCCTTTTATAATGACCAAGTTGCTTATAATGATCTAGACTATGCAACTGATAACTTAGATGATAATGGCTGCCGTTTAATGATATTGGCTACAGGTGAAAGGATGATGTTGGTTCTCTTTGAAGATGATAATGCCATTTAACTATTCTGACCATTTTGCACTTTCTGTTTCCAGCGGAGACCTAAATTAAGCGACCCAAGGATCCGATGCGCTACTCCTTGGGATGAGATGTGTTATTTTTTCTCTGGAAGTTAGAGGCGCTTAAGAGACTGGGAGTTGACTCACGGTATGTCTTGACACAAACGTTTTGGGATGCTCTACCACACTACCAGTAGTGGAAATGAGAGCAGGATAGAGCTTCAGTTCAGTTGAAAAGAAGGAAACTAAGTTATGAACGACGGTACCACCTCGCCTTTTAATTTTTGTTGGAGCAGAGAGTCAACTGCTGATGGTCAAGTGTTGGCTTTTTGCTTCTTTTATACTTATGGTGTAAGATGGAATGTAAATTCTGTATATAGTTGGCTATATTTGGGAGGATGTATAGGTTTATGTACACATTTCTCTTGCTGTAAATAGTTTTTGAGAATATCAACGGTATGACCAGTTGACTTTTGTGTCAAGTGTCCTACATTAGTTGAGTGACAGGTCGCTCGTTTCCTTATATGGTATGACTCCACCCTCACTCCGTGAGCTAGCTTTTGAGTTGAGTTCGGTTGTTTGGCTTTTGGAGCAAGCAGCCATCTCGTTCGGTGATCTCTACATCGTCTCTGAAATGCAGCAAAGTGATTGCTGAGTGATTCAAAATCCCGGTTAGCTTTTGCTATTTTATGAGAAAATGGAACTGCACTCCTGATTGTAAAGAAACGGCAAAATATTTACATTTAGGGTGTGTTTGGTATGAAGGAAAATATTTTTCATGAAAAATGTTTTCATGGAATATGAGTGCTTTTATTATTTATTTTCCCTTGTTTGGTTGGTGAGTGAAAACTTCCTATGTTTGGTTAGAGGATAGAACAGTCTGATCTTTCTCCTGAAACACTAGTGTATGGCCGGCATTTTGTAGTCATTGTGTGATGATTTGTCATGTCATCATGCCACATAAGCGCCATTTGATATATATTAATGTCATTTGAAAGCTTACATAAGAAGAAGGCTAGCATTTGTGAGAAGATTCTAGAGAGGTATGAACATTTCCTTAGGAAAAACCTAGATCCTTATGGATTTGCTAGGAAAGTCCTTGGAATCTTCTAGACTTGTAGAGAATTCTAGAAAAAGCTCTTATCTTGTAAATATCAAGGACTTATGTAATAATTAATATTTACACACTAGCCCCTAGTAGACTAGTGTTATTCATTTGTAATTCATCAAGCAAACAATTCAAGTTCTCTTTAATACAAAGCTTCCTTTAACAATTCTCTTGTGTTCTTTCTTCCATTCTCTTAGCGATCTTGAGTGTAGTAAGGCTGACTTGACATAGCAAGAACGTGAGCAAGTTGTGCAAGATCGTGAGCGAGTTGTCAAGTGCCGCACGTATATTTAGTTAACAACTAAGGACGTGACAACGTGGTATCAGAGCGAAGGTTTTAACTAAGGGAATGGCGAACGACGGAGAAATTAACGTTGCCAACACCCAAGCTAACGTCATCCAGGATGCTGCTGGCAAGAGCGGCCGTAGCAAAAAGAGGAATGCCACCAACAAGAGTCAGGAGGTGCCACCTGAGGTTGTGTCAAACGAAGGGCTTACATCCCAAGAACCATCTGCCACTGAGGCGAGCGAGGATGAAGTGGAGGTCCTTTCAGAGGACGTCTCGCTCAGTAAAGAGTGGGTGATGAAGATGAACGCGGANAGGCTCCCAAACCCCCGGTGTTCAAAGGTGTTCGTGATGCACAAGAAGTGGAAAACTTCCTTTGACACTTGGAGAACTACTTCAGGCACGGCAAAGTGAGGGGCGACGAAGCCAAGATCATCACTGCGGTATTGTACCTCTCAGAGACTGCCATGCTATGGTGGAGAAGGAAGATGACCGACGTGGATAAAGGTCTATGTACTATTAGCACATGGGATTAGTTCAAAGCGGAGTTCAAGCGTCAGTTCTTTCCAAACAATGTCTTGTACGAGGCAAGGCGCAAACTTAGGGAATTGAAGCAAATAGGGAGCATACGTAACTATGTCAAGGAGTTCACTACCCTTATGCTTCAAATCCCCAACCTGACCAATGATGACTTGTTCCACTTTATGGACGGGTTGCAAAATTGGGCTAAACAGGAGTTGCAATGCCGACAAGTCACTGATATAGACCAAGCCATAGTAGAGGCCGAATCATTGAAGGATTTCAGGCATGACAAGCACGACAAATGCAATGGCAAGGAGTCAAAGGTTAACAATGTCAAAGGTGGGGGAAACCGTGGCAAAGGCAAGGAGATACAACAACAATACTCCAAGACTCAAGATTTCAAAAAGTCGAGTGGCCGTCAGGGCTACACCGAGAAGAAGGCACATGTCGAGAAGAAGGAATGCTATATATGCGGAGGGCCACATGGCTTCTAGAATTGTCCTGACCTCAAGAGCCTCAGTGCCATGGTACGTGAGCGGAAGGAGCAGCCACAAGGAGAGAGTCTGGGAACCGCACAGTTGGGTATGATTGGATTATGTGGTGCTGTCATGAAGCAAGCTATCCAACCTACCGAGAATGGCAATCAGTACGTGGATCTCACCATCAACAAGCCCGCTCGTGCAATGGTGGATACTGGAGCAACTCATAATTTCGTGACTGAGGTTGCCGCAAAGAGACTAGAATTGAAGCTTGCTCCAACCAACTCTCGCGTCAAGACCGTGAATGCCGAGATACTGAATGCTCATGGGATAGCTAATGGAGTTGGTGTAAAATTGGGAACTTGGAAAGGTATGACAAACTTTACCGTAACCGCTATGGATACCTTTGACATCATACTGGGGCAAGAGTTCTTCAGACATTGTCATACTTTAATCGACCCCTACCTCCAACGTCTCTTGGTTATGGAGCGAGAAGGAGCTTGCATGGTACCTGCAGTGACTATTCCACACGGACAGATCCAAGCACAACTCTCAGCTATGCAGGTTGTCAAGGGGATCAAGAAGGGGGAGCCGACGTTCGTGGCAACCATTGCAAGTCTAGAGGAGGACAAGAATTTTCAAGAGACAATGCCGCCTTGCATAGAGAAGTTGCTTGAGGAGAACAAAAATGTCATGCCCGAGAAGTTGCCTAAGCACTTGCCGTCTAGGCGAGATGTGGATCACAATATTGAGTTGGAGTCAGGGGCTAAACCACCCACATTTGCCCTATATCGTATGGCACCGCCCGAGCTGGAGGAGCTCAAGAAACAATTGAAAGAGTTGCTGGATACTGGTCACATTCGCCCATCAAAGGCACCTTTCGGCGCACCAGTATTGTTCTAGAAGAAGAAGGATAGATCTTTGTGCTTGTGCATAGACTACCGAGCACTTAATAAGGTCACCGTGAAGAATAAGTACCCGATCCCGCTCATTGCTGACTTGTTTGATAGACTTGGGCAAGCCATGTACTTTACCAAGGTGGATCTTCGAAAGGGCTACTACCAGGTTCTCATTGCGGAAGGGGATGAGCCAAAGACAGCATGTGTGACGAGATATGGAGCCTTTGAGTGGTTGGTGATGCCCTTCGGCTTAACCAATGCACCACCCACATTTTGCACCCTTATGAACAAGATTTTTCATCCCTACCTTGATCAGTTCGTGGTAGTCTACCTAGATGACATAGTCATCTACAGCAACACCTTGGAGGAATACATGGAGCACTTAAGGAAGGTTTTCCAAGTCTTGCGGGAGAACGAGCTATACATCAAGAGAGAGAAGTGCGAGTTTGCACAATCAAAGGTGCACTTCTTGGGCCATGTCATTAGCAATGGCGAGCTACGCATGGACGAGGCTAAGGTACGTGCTATCCAGGAGTGGGAGGCACCCATAAAGGTAACTGAGTTGAGATCCTTCCTTGGCCTTGTTAACTACTATCGTCGGTTCATCAGTGGATACTCAGCAAAGGCCGCACCATTGACTGAGTTGCTAAAGAAGAACAAGCCATGGGTTTGGACGGAGCATTGTCAAAAGGCATTTGAATGCCTTAAGGCAGCTGTAACAGAGGAGCCAGTCTTGGCATTACCTGACTTTGCCAAGACTTTGAGGTGCACACAGATGCTTCAGACTTTGCCATTGAGGTGTCCTGATGCAGGATAAGCATCCCATAGCATTTGAGAGCCGCAAGTTAAATGAGACGGAGCGGCGTTACACGGTACAAGAGAAGGAAATGACTGCCATTGTGTATTGCCTTCGTACATGGAGACATTATCTGCTCGGGTCGAGGTTCGTGGTCAAGACTGATAATGTGGCGACTAGCTACTTTCAGACACAGAAGAAGCTCACACCAAAGCAGGCCAGGTGGCAGGATTTCTTGGCCGAGTTTGATTATGCGCTGGAGTATAAGTCGGGCAAAAGTAACATTGTAGCCGATGCTTTGAGCCGGAAAGCCGAGCTTTCTGCAATCACTTCAGCGAGATGGGATATTCGAGAGGCTATAAAAGAAGGCATGCAACATGATCCAGCATCCAAACAACTTATCGAGTTAGCCAACCAGGGCAAGATGAGACGTTTTTGGGTAGAAGACGGCATATTGCTTACCACGGGTCGGCGGGTCTACGTGCCTAAGTTTGGAGACATTAGACGGCGGATCATAAGGGAAAGTCATGATACAATGTGGGCTGGTCATCCAGGCCAACGTCGCACCAGGGCCTTGGTTGAGTCAGTTTACTATTGGCCACGCATGCGAGATGATATAGAATGTTATGTGCA